TTTGCAATTTTTCTTTGTTAAGAGACGGGGCAATAGCCTAGCTCATGAACTAGCTTCCATCTCTGTTTCTGACTGTTCGGAAGGGACTATTCTCCCTTTACATTTGGCCGATTGTGCCTACTAAAGATTGCAATTTCTTAAAAAAACAATTTGACGTTGTTTATTAAATATGTACCCAACACAAGATAATATTTTTAAATTTTAAAATACTGCATTTCAACAGATATTTTTAGTTGTATAATGTAATTATTCTTTTAGTTATTCCTTTCGATAAAATATAATTTTTTTTAAGGTATTATAATTTAAAATACAAATTAAATTGTGCTTGAGAGGCCAAGTGCTACAAATGATACTTTAATGTGGTAAGTATTACACATGCTATAGTTTAGGGGTGTAAACTGTATCTAACTTACTTATTAATCAATTATTGTTAATTAGAGTTTTCTAATGTTGTTTACTAACATAAAATAATGTTAACATTATAAATATCATAGAAGAGTTATTTCTAAGTTATCGAAATACAACTGAAAAGTTGTATGAGTATCATTGAAAAATTCATGAGAGCAAGAGCAAAAATATATGAGGTCGTAGTTAGTAAACAAATTATGTAAGGGGACGTTGCTAGATAAACAAACAATTGGAGATTTTGAGTAATTACTCATACTTGAGGGCTATAGTTCTTTGGTAATTCGACCAAAACTCATAGTTTTTCTTTTAGGGTAATTATGATTATTTTTTAGGGGCTATTTCATTAAAACACCTTATACTATTTTCTCCTAGGGAGAATTTTAAATGACCAATTAGTGAGAACCCCTTTCCTTGTATACTTTCAAAAATACCTCTAATTATTCATCCCAAACAAAAAGAAAAAAAATCATATCTTCCCCAAAAATAACCCCTAAATACAACACCCCCCCCCCCCAAATCTCTCAAAAATCTCACAAAATTTCAATGATTATTTTTTGGTAATTTCTTTTTTCGTATTTTCAATTTTGAATTTTATCCTTAAGAAAATTGTTTTTTTTTCGATTAGAAAAATTGCTTTTTATTAATGACGTCATGACACTTAATTAAAAAAAGTACATTAAACTTTTTTGTCTTCCAAATAACTCCAAATCATTCAAACTTATTTGAAAATATGAAACACTCTTTTATGTATACCAAAATTACCTTCAATTCCTTGAAACCCTAATTCAACTTCAATTTCATGATTTACACTACAATTTAGCTCAATTTCACCAATTTTGACCCTTATTCCAATTTAGACCCAATGTTTTCTTTTCTAATTTTTTCTTTCCGGCAGGTCAGCCGCTGGTCTGCGGCGTTGACTTTTTTTTTCTTTTTTTGAAAACTTGTTTTTTCTTAAAAAAAATATTTTAATTAATATTACTGTCTAGGCTACTAAATTACTGTCACCAACAGTAATTTAACTATCAGAGACAATAATTAAAATGTCTCGGACAATAATTTTACTGTATTAATTAATTTTATCGTATTGCCCTGCAATTTGTGAAATTTGGGTTAAATTAAATTTAAGGATGAAATTGGACCATACTAAAATGTGAGAGACTATTTTAATCTTTTACACATTTCTGGACAATGTATGCACTTTTTTTGTAAAATAGTTTTTTGTCTGGATCCCTTTATAATAAGTATGCCATGATGAACTTATTTGTATTAATGGACAATTGTTTTAGATTATAAATGTTTGAGGGTTTTCAAATAATTATATTTTAGTTCATGGATTTTTTTTGGTAATTTACTCTATCTAAAACAAGGGTAAATGACAAATAGGCCCACGACACGAGCACTTAATTAAAAATAGGGAAATTCATTTTTTTTCTTTGTCTTCCAAATAAATGCACCTCATTCAAACTTATTTACAAATAAGGAAAACCTTTTTATACATACCAAAATTATCCCCAACTCTTTGAAATTCTAATTCAATTTCAATTTCATGATTTACACTAAATTTCACCAATTAACCAATTTTGACTGCTACCGCCGGAGATTGCTGGTCTCCAGCGTTGACTTTTTTTTTGATTTTTTTTTTCGGCACATCAACCTCCGTTGACCGCCAGTCTCCGGTGTTGACTTATTTTTTTCCTTTCGGAAAACTTGGTTTTTCTTAAAAAAAAATATTTTAATTAATATTACTATCTTGACTGCTAAATTACTGTCTCTAATAGTAATTTTAACTGTCTGAGACAGTAATATTACTGTCTCAGACAGTAATTAAACTGTATTAATTAATTTTATCGTTTTGGTCTGCAATTTTGCGCTGTCTCATGAAATAATATTACTGTTTGGGATAGTAATATTAGTAACATTGATGTTTGGGGAAAGTAATATTCATAATATTTGTGTTCAGGACACTAATATTGTTGTTTGGGACAATAATATTACTTTTGGGACAGTAATATTAGTAGTATTACTGTTTGATATCCAATATTATTATCTCAGACAATAATCATGGGTTCGTCCATAAAACAAATCTTAATTATGAAAACTTAAACTACATATATAATGTTAAAAGTTATAGAGACAGTTTGGAAAAAACAAACTGATCACAAACTGCGACTACAATTACACAACTTTTTATCATGCAAAATAATATGATTTAAGAACATCTAAACTACATGAAAATACAGTATGCACCCCTAAGGTATGGACTTTTGTCATAAACACTCATGAATTACAAAACTTACCAAAAAATCATAAAATCTATAATATAGGTGCATTGGGTAAATTTCACTCTTGTATTAGCTTGTGCAGCACTCAAAATATGTAAATCGCACTAGGCTAACCATATAGAGAAGTTCGACTTTCAGAGAGTTGGCAACGAAATTCTCACTCGAATCATTTGTTTTCCTTTGTTGTTAACTCATTATTTTTTAACAATTATTAACTTTTTAGACAATTTTACACCCTACATTGTACAGAAATGTATATTATGGATTAAAGCTTATTTTTGTACTATTTCTCCAACCATTTTCTTCGAATATTCATAACCATTTATTTAAAAAAGAACATTTGCTTCGATTAGAAACTTATCTTCGGTAAAAATACATATATATATATATATATATATATATATATATATATATATATATATATATATATATATATATATATATTATTTGCATGGGATTGGTTGGATGAACTCTAAATTCCTGGATTTCCTTGGAGACATTTGGGATGACCGCATTCTTTTAGTTAAAAAAAAATAGACCCTTCTTTTTTGGCATTCAAATCAAAATTTACTGTTAAAAAATCACAAAATATTCCAAAAGGCATGCGGAGAAGGCCATCATAACAATATGAAGCAAAAATAACCTAGTTTTTCTTCCCAGCAAATTATTTTTTCTGTCGACAAGTTTGGAAGCAGCATTCAGGCATATTAGCAAACAGCTCGGCAGCAATATAATCTCCGGAGGTTGAGAATTGTGCTCGGGTACAATCTCCGGAGGTTGAGAATTGTTGGCCACGGCTCTGTCCTCAAAATCAACAGATTCTATAATAGTTAATAATCACAACTCTTAGGAAAATAATTTATGAAAACGTTTCATATCTTTTCACATAATTAAACCAAACACCTCCATGTTTTAACGGTGAGTTTTAACATATTATTTTCCATAACTAAATACTTGAAGTGACTTATTAATTTCTCATTTATCAACAAATAATTTTGAAAAAAAAAAAGTAAATTTAATCCAATTAAATATTTAACTCGAATTTTCCAACACTTGTTCCTTTTCATACTTGAAATTTTGGAATTATTTTGAATTGTTTGCTAAAAAATCAATAAACCTACATTTATTAAAATGATTTAAGATACTTCAAATCTTATTGCAATTACCCACCACAACAGGTTTATTGCCACCTTAAATGTATCTACTAGAATTAGAATGTCTTCTTGAATTTCAGAATATGTTCCTGGAATTTTGAACAATACTCGGAGAAATTTGTAAGAGCAATTCAACCATCTTTGGTGGCTGGATTGGTTCACGAGTGTTGGCAGTGCAGGAAAAGGGCACTCGTTTTTTACCTCGCAGTAAACGTAATTAGTGCCGTAAATGTTCGAGAGACACTGAATTGTTACACACAGGGGCGGACCGTGAGACATTTAAGTGGGGGGGCTAAGCTTCGGATAAAATAATGGAAAGGAAAAAAAAATAATAAATAAATGTAGATAATTTAATCTACATTTATTTGATCTACATGAATCGTATTATTTTTCAATGGTTTGAGTTGATGTAAAGACATTAGAACAATCGACCCTATCTATATTAAATGTCAAAGAACCCTATAGATTCATACATAAACCCCTAAATTATAAAAATAAAATCACGTAACTCGTTAAGATAATTCAACAAAATTTTAACATGCAATTAAAGAATGAGAAAAAAAATTAGAGATTAAAAGGGAGATAATGAAATGGAATTTGTTAATTGTCTTAAGAGTCTCTAATGGTATGTAAATCGATGATTGTGTGGAGAAGAAGAGAAGATATATAGTAAAAAGAAAAGAAACCTATTGGAAAATTTATTAGTATTTTTGACGATTGTTTCCTAATTTTAAAACTATGTTCTTTTTAAAAGTAAATAAAATTAAGAAAGAAAAATATATTACTCATTAATTAATCATCTAAAATTTATTTAATAGTGAAAATTTGCAATTTGTCATTTGTTTTTTGCGGTAGCAGGGCTAGGAGCTGGAATTCATTTTGAAGAATTATGGGACCTATGTCAAATTTTAAATAATAAACTATATAGCTAATTAAAAAAATCAAGGGGGGGCGACAGCCCCTCCATGGGCTTGAAAGAATCCGCCCCTGGTTACACATTAACAATAATATGCAAACTGGTAAAAGGTGGACTACCGTATCTACGAATTAGTAAGAAAAATAACCAACAGAAAAAGAAACAGAGCCAACCGACTGTTCTGCTAAAGCCATGTTAGTCAATAATCGGATAGCAAAAAAAATGGACTCACAAAGTTTACCATTTAATTGCAAAGCGAGTAACAGTGTATTCCCCGGGTTGATAGTTTGGTAGTTGTGACAAAGTTGTCGGATGCCACAAATCTTTATTCCTCTCATATATCTCCATTCTTACTTCCGAGAACTTACGGTCTTCCCTTCCACTTTCTCTCTTCATTAGAATCTTCCATAGACATTCGATCCGTTTGATATCCCCTCTGTAGTGGTAGTCACCGATGTTTCTTGGACGACAAATGCGAAACGTACCTTCTAAAAGAGACGAAAACAGAGATACATGACAACGCAAACTCAATCTCTCCACCACAACAGGTTTATCACAGTTGTCGTCTTGTCCCAAATTAATGTTTTCTTGAACAATCATGTCCCTATACTTCATGGAATATTGATTAATCTCCACACAAATATTCGAATGGCTTAATAACTTGAGCAGTTTATTTAGCTTGAAGTACCACAAAGAAGTAACCTTTGAAAATCTTAGGTTTAGATACGAATCCCACACACGGGAACTTGTTGCAATAATAGAGATGTGTGGAACAAAGTCTCCCCCATATTCAAAATATACTATTTTTGGGGCATCAATGAATATATGGGATTCTTTGAGTCCTTCGCATTCCCAAATCTTCAAGGATCGAAGACATGGAAATTTACACGACGACAAGTGGTCCAGTGACGATCTCACGAGGCGCAGACATAAATCTTTGAGATTAAGAAAATTCGCTCCTCTCTGTAACCAAAGATCACCGCAAGTAATATTTATTTTTTCAATAGATGGTGGATGGATTTCGATTCGACAAAGTCCCTCCTTGAAGGCTACATTCTGAAACCTTGAAAAGAAAAAGTCCTTTAGATTACGAAGATCGTTCCCCTTAATTTTTCTTAACCTCATACATCTGTCGACGCGCATGGTTTCAATCGAAGGGCAACTTAAGATTATCTTGTGAAAAATATCTTCGTCGATGCAGACTTGTTGGAGATGAAGTGATTTTAGATGCTTGAAGATCACAAGCCCTTGAATAGCCTTTTGGCCCAACACGAATCTTTGCACGTGCAAGTAATGGAGAGATTCGGCTCCAAAGACTACAGACGGCAGTTCGACGCATGCTCGAATATGTCGCGCCGAACGAATAGAAAGACAAAACTTCTTTGTACCCATATTTTTTAGTAGCGGGATCCATCTTTTGAGAAGCGAAACCAATCCTCGATCGGAATGATTCAGCGATATAGAGAGGTGGAGTTCTTGTAAGCAAGTCCTTTGATCAAAGTATCGCTGTAAATTGGAGTTCACAATGGATACAAAATGTTGTTTGTTGGTGAAGGCAGAGGTGTCTGAGAAATCGAGATTGGGGAGAGTACACCAAATGTAACGCCATGCTTTAGACAAGAGAGATGTCCGTACAGCTTCTTTGTGGGAGAGGTAATATAGTATTTTGTGCAATATGTCTGTCGGTAACTCTGATATCTTGTCTATGGAGTTGGCTGCTCGAAGTTTCTTCGCCATCTCAACAAATAAAACCTAAACAATTCTAATTACAAAAACACACACTTTTTGTGGAGGGGTTCGATGAGTTTATAGTAGTTCTTTTTTTTTTTTTTTTGATAATTGAGTTTATAGTAGTTACAACTCTACAATAGGTAGGATTATATTGAATTCCTTTGCTTGCAAACGGAACAACTATTTTCCTTGTTTTGCAATTCTTGTTAGGGTTAATCAAAGAGGCCCATGACAAGGCATTTAATTAAATAACGGACATTCAATTAATTTTATTGTATTAATTAATTTTATCGCCTTGTCCTGCAATTTTACTGTCTTCGGCCTTAATATTACTGTCTCCGACCGTATTACTATTATTACTGTCTCATTCAATAATATTACTGTTTGGGATAGTAACATTAATAATATTACTGTTCGGAAAAGTAATATTCATAATATTACTATTTGAGACAGTAATGTAGTAGCCAAGACACTAATATTAATTAAAATATTTTTTTTAAGAAAATAAAAAAACGTCAACGCGGCGGTTGACCAGCCAAAATAAAATGTTTATATAAAAAAAAGCCAACGCCGGAGAACTGCCCGGTCAACGCCGGAATCTGGCCGGAAAAAAAAATATTTTCTGAAAAAAAAAAATCAGAAAAATATTAAAATGAGGGTTAATGTGATATATTTGTTTAAATCCGGTGTCAATGTGTAATATTGAGGAAGTTAGAGTATAATGGATGTAATTGATAAAAAGTATATTATAGAAGATACTTTAGACTACATACATGAGCATGAGTTTATTTGAAAAACTATTTTACGTGTGGACCAATGTGCATCTAAGTCCCTTATCATGTCCCTTTTTGCCATTTACCATTTTTATTATTTAGATTAGATCCCAATTCCCACCTTATTATATGTACTAGTATCTTATCCCGCGTAACACAGTGAGTAGTTCCAAAATAAATAAATAAATAGGTTTACATCCTTGAAATGGAGTTTTTTGGCACTTTGCACCATTGAAAAACAGTAATAACATTTTGCACCCTCAAACACAGTAAGTCATTCACTATGCACCATAAATTGAATAATAAATGCAACTTTATTTTTCATTGGTTTTTTTTAATGGGGATACAAAATAAAAAAAATAAATTATTATTTATTTCAACATCAAACCTAATTTCGAGCGCACAGAGGACGTAAGAAACACACCAGATTATTGAAAAAACTATATTTTCTTACAAAATATAATATTATAAACTTTTATCACCAAATTATTCGATTGATGGATTTGTTTTATTGTAACTGGTGGAAATATTAGGTAAAAATATTTGGAAGAAAAATATAATTTTCAGATAACTTGATAACAAAATAGTTGAAGGATTTCTTTTTTTTTTCTTCGTAAAATATGGATAAAAAAATATATTTTTTAAATATATTGATGAGATGTATTTTTAGTTATGTACTTTATAGTTTCAAAATGATTGATGGATAAAAAAACATTATTTGACATTTGTCATCCTAAAAATTGCCACTTAGAATATTAAATTACATTTATTACTTTAAAAAATCATTTATGATGCATTATGCATGATTTGTTGCGTTTTGAGGGTACAAAGTGCTATTAATTTATTTTGAGGGTGCAAAGTGCCAAAATGGTATATTTCAAGAGTGCTAAGTTGGATTAAGATAAAAAAATAGTGTCCCTAACATCTCCAGTGTAAAGTAGTGTTTGCACGAACGAATATATAAAGCGGAAAAATAGATTATCAATAACAAACATGATAATAAAAATCTAAAAATAGTTGTATTAAAGAGTATAATAATATTATTTATTAGTTAAACTTAAATTGCAATGAAATTATGAAAGCGTCAGAATTCCTACAAGGTTGCGGCTATATGCAAGACTAAAATCACTTGTGCAAGACCAAATTAAAATTTTCAATTTATAAATACTATAATACCCTTACTTGTTAAAAAAATAGAAAATTCCAAATGTGCAAGACTAAAAATTCAAAAACACAAAAAACCCTATCACAAGACCACAAAACCACAAGACCAACTCTCATCTTCTCCATCTTCCAAAACCCACAAGATCTTTCTCCTTCCTCCTCCATAAACCCACAAAACCTAAACATTTAAAATCATCAAAACTCAACAAATCTTACAAAGATGGCAGGTATGGAGTCAAAATACATCAAAATAGAAGATTCTACGGTGGAAGAACCCAAGAAGGTATGCATTTATGAGTTTTTTTTAGCTAGAATATCGTTTTTCCAAAAAAAAAAATCCCGCGCAAACGAATTCGACATGTACAGGTCGAATTTTATGGGTAAAAGTCGACATTTAGATGTCGATTTTTAGGCATAAAATTCGACATTTGGCAATGTCGAATTTTGGTGGTATAAATTCGACATGTCAATGTCGATTTTTGCCTATAAAATTCGACGCTTAAGTGTCGATTTCAAGCACAGTTTTTCGACACCTTGGTGTCGATTTTTACCAGTTTCAGATTTAATTTATTTTTCCTCTTTTTTTGTAAGGTTGGGCGGAGGCGATCGGTGGTAGAGCTTGGGCGGCGG